GTCTTGCCTTAATCTCCGGGCGGTTGGGTGTTCGAAAAGCTGCTCTTTAGATCATAAGTTCTGTCATTGACAAAAATGACGTGGTTTCGACCCTAAGCCTGTATGTCACAAGGAGTAGTGTCGTCTACCCAACCGCGTGAGTTTTCTCCGGGTCCTCCGGTTTCCTCTCACTGTTAAATCGCGGTATGTACACCTGATTTATTGAAATATATCCGTACTATATTATGTTAATCACGAAATGACCAAGTTTGTGTCAAGCGGACTTTAAACCCATTGCCCCCCCCCCTCTTTTCACAATCTTGCCAGGTAATTAAAATCAAGCCCGTCTTCATATTTTATAACGGAAAGCATACCTGTTCTATTCGTCACGAAACTTGTCATGATAAGCTGTTGCGATGATACTTGTAATAACTTTTCTTGTATTATAATTTCATTTATTAAAGTGTGATTTTGACAGTAAATATGAGATTAGAGGATGGGAATTTGTGTTGTCTTAGAATGTTGCCAAATGGGGTTTAACGATTGTGTAATGTCTGCTATTGATTCATTCGTAAAAGGAAGTAGTAATATTATGGGTTGAAAATGTCACGTCTGATTTGACACCTTCAATGTCAATAATATGACACCCATTACACTATAAACTATGACATAATATAGACGGTAATTATTTAATATAATATATATATTCAAATAACGTATTGTTTATTTTAGTTTATGAGCGTGAGCTGAAGACACAGATATTATAAAACACAAGTTTAGTGGAGTTTATTTGGTGAAAAACAATCTTCATAAGGTAAGAAAAAATATATAACATCTTTGTGCATGGACTTTTTTACCATTATCATATTTTTATATTTAAAAGTTAATATTGTTCCATTAGCAACACAATTTCCCTAGAGTAATTTTATATAATTGTTCTCTCAATACCATTCTCAATCGTATAAATTCTTCGGTTTTACTGAAGCGTTTTGATGGAATTTGCAGGCACCAAATGTATAAAAAATGTTATCGTTTTCATTTAAAACAATGTAATATGTATTTATAATAAACGCGCCTCCGTAACCTATTAGTTAATCCGCTTTACTGATACGTAATCTGAAACTAATGTATTTTACCATCATCTTTAATCTTGAAAGAATAACATCCATTATTTAAAATAATGATTTATAGGTATTTTTTTATGTAAGATGTTGTAACATAAGATCAAATAAAAAAGGAATGAACTTTCGACAGAAGTAATTTATTTTCCCAACACTGGATGTAACAAGACGTTGTGCCTGAATACAATATCTGATAGATTTTAGGGCCATATACAGTCTATAGCTAACTTACCGAAAACTGTAATGATCATGACGGCCATTTGAATTTTACATTAACTTCTAATTTGGAATATATCACACCGCCAACTTTATGGATCCGAGATAAATATATTAATTATCTGTGGGCTAGTACATTATTTTATGTCTATTTGCTGGGGTGGGGTGGGGGGTATCGGGTCATTGGGATGCTCAACTAGATTATGATATATTGTATATGCTTTCAATATGTGTGTACCATCTGGCCTTTTCCTCTTTAATACTAAGACTGCCGCCATCATTAGCTTGTAATAATGATATGCCTTTTCGTCGAACATAATTTATCATTTATTGGTATTATGATTCCGTAACACGACTTCGTCATCTAATAAGAATCGGGTTTACCTGACAGAAACAATTTGTCACTAAAACAATGCATCCTGTATATTAATGAATGTACAAAATCGGTAATGTACGTTACGAAAACCTATCTAACCACTGGAGCCAACATGATGTATTTGATTTGATTCGGTAGCTAGAAGGCCTCTCATTAATTTACTGAGAAACATAAACTTAATTACTCGCCTGAAGGTAATGTGTATTGTTACTGGATCTGTAAGTGATGGATCGTTCTGAGTAATCCGAATGACAGGTGACTAACTTGACAATATACCTGTCCCTATTCTTTGATGTCTTATGTCACGTGCAGCCGTTACGATGTTTGACAAGCTTTGCGTCACTGTCATCAACGAATTAGATAGTTTTTGATAACATCATCATCATTGATGAACTAATTACTGTTCACCTACGAACATTTCAATAAAATTGTTTTCTTTCGTTTCGGTTAATTTTCCAGTTTGTACAAAAACGGAACGAATTATTAAAGTTATTCAACCAGAGCTAAGTGTCTGAAGCCTATGTAATTGTCAACATTTTGTTGCGTGTTTTAAATTCACCATTCGAATTAGCTGCGTGTGTTATTAAAATTCAACTTTTGAATTAGCTGCGTGTGTTACTAAATTCAACTTCTAAATTAGCTACTAGATTCAACTTTTCTGTGTTTTAATTTGTGATTATTTAAACCACCTTTGTGTGTGTTACTAATTTGGTTTTCATTAACTACTTTTTATTGCCATATGTATTCAGAAAAGTAGGACGTTAAACCCCATTTCATCCATTTATTACTGTTTTTATTAGTCACGTGTATTTTGATTGATTACCAATATTTATCACAATAATACTAAACTATAGTCATTGTTTACTATAGCTACTGTCAATCTACTAACTTATGACTACATGTACTTATTTACATTTACTCATAAATTGAAATCTGTCAAATTACTCATTCTATGAACCCAATAGTTCTACGCATCAAAATTAATGTATTTGGCATGTGGCGCAATTGTGCAACTCATTTGTGAAAAACGTAGATTATTTTGCATTTTTATTCTTCTCTGAAATAGTATATAAGTTTCGAAATACTGGTTATGTGATATACGGCTGGTAGATCGCGTGCTTCTGTTATAAAGGTAAAGAACAATCCAGCCATTTTTTTACAAATTACTTACAAAGTCGCGGGATTGTTGATTTGACAAGGTGTTTATTTGCACGAGGAATACAGTTGACCACCATTACATTTTTTATGGATTATCATGCTTACTTCTGTCTTAAAGTGTGAAATATATTCATCCTGTTGTGGGGTATCTTCTATAAGAGATTTATAGTGTTGATATAGTCATAACCTTTACAAGGATTTAACCGTGTCTTTCCCTCTTGAAGTATCATCAAGATCAGAAGTTTCCTGTTATAGAAGTAAGTTATTGCCTCTTGAGACTTCAGAATAAAATTTAGAAAAGAACTATAAAATTAAATAAGTGTGTTTGCTTCTTGTGAAAGTAATGAATTAATTAGAAATGTTTTATAAGAGAATCTTACTTAATGGTACATAAAGAAAATTCATGGTTCGTAAAGAATATCTTAATTCATGGTTCGTAAAGAATATCTTAATTCATGGTTCGTAAAGAATATCTTAATTCATGGTTCGTAAAGAATATCTTAATTCATGGTTCGTAAAGAAATTCACGCCTTATGGATTGTAAAGAGAAGTTTACTTCGTGTTTTCATAAAGAGAATCTCACTTTACGGTTTCTAACAAGGAAACCTTACTTTATGATTCTTACTTTATAGTTTATATAGAGAATCTTACTTTCTTGCTCATAAAGAAAATCTTACTTATTGGTTCATATCGCGAATCTTACTAGGTGGTTGATAGGAGAATCATACTTCAGGATTCGTAAGAAAATCACACCTTAGGGTTCATAAAGAGAATCTTATTGTAGGGTTCATAAATAGAATCTTACTTTAGCGTTAAATCTTACTTTAAGGTTCATAAGAGAATCATACTTTAGGGTTCTTAAAGAGAATCTTACTTTAAGGGTCATAAAGAGAATCTTACTTTAAGGTTCATAAAGAGAATCTTACTTTCATAGAGAGAATCTTACTATAAGGTTCATAAAGGGAATCTTACTTTAAGGTTAATAAAGAGAATTTTACTTTAAGAGAATCTTACTTTAAGGTTCGTGAAGAAAATCTTATCTTTAGGGTTCATAAAGAGAATCTTATCTTTAGGGTTCATAAAGAGAATCTTATCTTTAGGGTTCATAAAGAGAATCTTACTTTAGGGTTCATGTTGTTACCCGATTCCTGATTTCAGTGCATATTATATTGCAATGCTTCAGTGGTTTACGTGTTGCCAATCTATAGATAGATATATTTACATGTCAATGATTATGGTGAATATCAATTATGTACTGGATATAGGCAAATTGAAAATATACATCTGTAGCCTTTCTTATATATAAATACATATCAGACATAATGGCTCATTACACATACAACTATTAAAAAATATTGCCTAATAAACATGTAATTTGTATAAAGAGACGCTTGAATGATTTTAATACATGAAATTATGTTAATCATCATCACAAGCCGCTGCATCTTCTATGATGTATTACTTCCCGTAATGCATTACTTGTGTACCCCTTATTTCAATTTCACGCTCTTGAATTTACACGTAGCGGGGTGAGCAGGTTATAAAAGTAACAACAAAGAATATTCGTCCAGAGACTGTGTTGAAAAGGGTAGAATATTAACGGAAATACCTTTAAATGTATAACACTAGGTACACTCTTTGCCCTCGTCAGTGACCCTGCTCTCAGAAAATGTTTAATTTGAAAATGATTGACTTATAGGTCCTTGATGGTACGCTATTACAATTTATTCCACAATAATTACATTTCTTCTCATTAAAAGATTAGGTTAGACATGTTTTTCCACAAAAAATATTTGTTTAACAATAACCCGATATGATAACCGATAAACAGCACATCGCCTTCGTTTTGTTACTGACACATCATGAAAGCTCTCCGTTAATATTTTTCTCAAGTGGAAGTGATATTGTTTGTTTTTGGCCAGGGAATTACTAGCAGTCTTAACAGCTCTAAACCCTGTTTAAATACGCCAGCATCATCTTAATACCTTCAAATAACACGAACCGATCAACTCTCTCAAATAAAAACATTAACAGACACAGACAATTTCTGTAACAGGTAACAACACTCCATTCCCTTCGTTGGGTCGTCAGGTGAACCGGTCAAACCAACCAATCACAAATCCCCAAACATGTGCAAAAGGGATACACTCTTTTCAACCACGTGCTGTTTGCCGCGCTTCAGATCGATCCGGGTATCTAATGTACATTTAATCATATCTCATGACACACGAGCTTTCACGAGACTGTCAGTCAAAGATTTATTGGGGTGATTAGTCGGGTAAACGAGCGTCGACAAAACTCGCGGGAGAAGGACCTCTAGCGGTAGACGATGGTCAAGGGATGTCCAGTCGGGGAGCGTGCTGTAACAAGTCAGTAGTAACAATAACAGTGGACAATACGGTAGTGGTCACTTCAGCTCGCGTGTGGCCATCAATGAAACCAGATACAGTTAACGGAACTTATAAGTATTAACTAAAAGTGCTAATAGTGAGACAGTGGATAAAGTGTTAATAATACATCCGTATTTACTTAAATTTGATACAGTAGTGATGCCGAGATAAGAATAACGCTGTGATTTATTGGCAATAATCAGAGATTAAAAACAAATATTCGATACCGTAATACTTTTCAAAATTTGATACTGAGATTAGTTTTGTTACTTTTATAAGATAGTGGTAACAAGCTTTGATATTGATTGATGTTATTTTGAATGCTGTTTCTAGTCATAAACTTGACAAAGAATAACTTCGTTTTGATTAACGTTTATTGGACCGTGACTTATGAAAGATTTAATTGTGTTTTGGCCATTCCGCATCTTTGGATTTGTCATGCATGGTTCCAGTATAGCACGGGCGATCGTTAAAATCAATTTACTTCAGCTTATGTATACCATTAATAGCAGGAATCTTCTTCATTAATTAATTAACGGTGATTACACAATCAAGCGAGACAAACTATTTCAAAGAACGTGGTTATTTAGAAACGTACCAGTGCCGCAGATGAATTTGAATATTGAAGACACTAGAAAGGTTGAATTACGTATCATTCTCACGAATTGCTTGTCACGAAACATCAAAGCATTAATTCGTTGAAGAAGAAAAAATGATTTTATAAATGAATTGTGACAGGCGTACTCTATGATAAGGAACTAAATATTTTAGATACGAGAGTTATTGGAAAGCGCTGTGACAGAACATTTCAACTAAACGTGACAATATTAATCATATAACGGAATACACAATATTGACAAAGGGTTTTTTAGCGGATTCTACGACAGCCTCTAGTAGATTAGCAGAAAAAAAAGCTTTTTACTACTGAGCCGTAAATGTGTTTTAAACAAGATTTCAGATGTAGTCTCTATCAGCCTTCGGGACAAATCATCTCAAAGCGATTAGTTTTTAAAGGTTTAGCGGCTGACTTCTTCATTTATTATAGTGTGATAAGATTGTTTCATAGCATACTGTCGTTTTTGTCTGTACTCACCCAGTTTGATATCACGCTCTTCTTAAAGCAGAGATATATACGACCGTTCGGAACATGGTTGAACTCTTAATAGTATTTAACTCTTAATAGACTGAAATGTGAACTTAATGAAAGTCAATTTGTCAGAATCGGTGTTAATAAATAAAAGAGTTTTAGATTGTTTCACAACGTGTGATGAGTGTTATTGGACAACTATCTCGATTATTTTGAGAACTTTGTCGCGGATGAAGAGCTCAGACGAAATTGATAAAAAGTTACTTACTAAGGAGATTTTTTTAAGATATTTAAGACGGTCGGAATATATAGACTTGAATACTGAGTTAAAGCCAGGACAAATCGGTGTCTGTAGAATTATATATTTTGTATAAACACATACAAAAAATATACAGTTATGTTACTGGATAATTGATACCATTGATCCTTATAGGTTAATGTAATTAGTGCTAATGATAATTACATATTAATCACACTAATTACTGTTGTTATAACAGTCAGCATATATCGGTTAACAAATATCACCATTATTTTTCTGATGAAAAAAAAAACAACCATAAACACTATTCGAGTTAATAATATTTCTTAGTTTAGACCGTGGCAGATGCTCATTGACAGTTAGATCATCCGTTTATCTCGGAACTGGCTCAGGTGTTGTCGCTGTGAGACATCATTTGTTACAAGCAGGCCAACCCACTATGATCCATGTGTGTTATTTATATACAACTTATTGAACAGTTCTGTGTTTGTTACATGACATATGGCATCGATTGTCTAACAAAACTCTCATATAAAACAGATTCTTAGTTTGCAATTGCAAAGTTCTTGTGGGATTTATTGAGGTATGTATATATACTAACGTTACATGGACATACCGGAAAGTTGCTTGGGCATGTTAAAAAGATAACTCGCAGTGTCTTTCTGCAGTCTTTATCCTCCAGTGAAACAGCTCTATAGTTAGTAACTTTATGGCATTATAACAAGTCGTGAATATTTGATGTACGTAACGGTTCTATATAGACATGTATAAGTAATAATCCGGTGTGATTAAATAACAATACTAAGTGAATTATATTAATACTTACTGTACTGAGGATCTAAATATCAAGTTTGAAATTGATGGGTAAGTTGACTTTATCATATTTTAGTTATATTATGTCTTTGTCTCTCGTACAGGTTTGAGTTTGCGAAACTTGATTGTTTTGAAATTATTGAGTTTGTGAAACAGAAATGTTTTAGAATTCTTGTGTCTCGGTACCCGTGAAACTGAATTATTTTGATATTATTGAGTCTCGATATCTCAAAATACGCACATGTAATATTACAGATGTTAGGACCAAATCATTTGTAAGTGATAAAACGACTTCATTAAAGGGGACTATAATCAATGACAAACTGCGATATCACTCTTGTAGGGAGCGGAAGCATAACCCCAGAAGAAGAAGAATGACAAACTTAAAGTTTTAGCTTAATTAAAATTACATGACAGGTACACTGAACACACCATACAAAACACATACATGCCTATATTCTAGGAACCCAAAGGATAGCTTAATTATACACTTGGATCTATATGACATCTGAGAGCACTATATGACTTCTAGGAGAATATATGAATGGAATATGATGGATAACGTAGTTCATACAGTAAATATTATTGACATTAACGTATATAACGAAGTTATTATTTACCTTATACTGGGTCATGTAGGTTTAATATAGATCAGTCATTCAGTAGATATTGATCCTTACTTTTCATATCACATGTACTTGTATGTTTCATGTGACCCAATTGACAGCCTATTAACATTCTTTGTTATGCAAATGAAGATTACTTTCTACTAAATAATTTTTGCATTTTGAGTTCAAGTCCAACATTTCACACTTCATACTTAGCTGTAAGTAGAGGCATGTGTCGTGCGTGAAAGGGGTGATTCTAGAACATCTGATATCACTTTATGTAAAGAATTCATATAGCTGACGAAAATTTCATGGTACTTTATATGTAATACTCGAAGTCATTAAATCATAGTATATTAGTATATATATATATATATTGTCATCGTCATCCCCATTATCATGGTGATTCTAGAACATCTGATATCACTTTATGTAAAGAATTCATGTAACTGACGAAAATTTCATGGTACTTAATATATAATATTCGAAGTCTTTAAATCATAGTATATATATTGTCATCGTCATCCCCATTATTATCGTAAGCATCACGTGTAAATTTATGATATACATATATATATAAAGCTTATGTATGTCATTTTAATAAACGAATTTATGACATAAATGGGATAAATGTATTGCGTTCCGAAAATGACCCGTATATATAATACTTTCAATAGTATAAATACTTCTCTAACAACCCATATGGCTTGTTCAGTATATATAAAAAAATTAAAAGGTTATGTATCTACATTAAATAATTCAATTCATGTAACACGTGTTAGGAATTTGCTTACAACTGAAATGTTCAACTATTATATCAATATTTCAATTATTGATTGATCTAAATATCTTCTCTTTATATTTTAATTGAAATTTACATACAGCTGGCTGTGCTGTTGTGGGCGTTTACTGTTCAGTATACATTCTAATGATTACGTATATGTAAATGGTGATAGGGTCTGAGATAAATGAGGGTCGCCTGCCCAAACTTATGGACATCTCTCTCTCTCTCTCTCTCTCTCAGTATGACTAAATGATTGTTTTCTAGTCCCGATGGGTTCGACAGAGGTATTTAACCCTAGGCCTGCCCCAACCAATTAGGCGAACATCCTTCCTGAAGAGAGATAAAGAGGGATTGAACTCAACGTCTTATCAAAATCCAGAACAGCTTTCTTTTTGTCTACCCTTTCTTCAAATTCCAACTGCTAAGGAGCTTTTTTTTACACTACTTGGTGGCTCAGTGGAATTCAATATAAGAGTAGGTCGTAGCGGCTCTGTCCGGGCAACATTTCCTTCATAGCACACTGTGTATGTCCTTCTTCATTAGCCGAGTCAGAGCAGAACAGTAGGACGCTAAATCCCATTTATTTTCATTTTATTTACATTGCCGCTCACAAGTAGGAACCGGGATTTACCTGGAGGGAATATCTGGTGTGTTTCTGGTTGTATAATGGCGGCAGTGATCTCATTATGTACAGTTTTATTCAATATTTTAAACAAACAGAAAGTTGAGGTTTTTCAAAAACGTAAAAATTTCCATCTTGGCTAATTTATCGCCTTGCAATCATGTTAGTCGCAGTATGATTCACATTCATTAGACGTTTTCTGAAAAAGATTTATGAAAAAAATTGGCTCAAAAAGAAAATCATGGCCATAAAGAGGAAGTTCTTAGCTGAAGATGTTTACAATTTTCAATAGTTTCTCGGCAACATGCTGAGGTATTATTCCCTGAACCTAACAACAGAGTACACAGCTATTGTGTAATTTGAAACCAGTTTAAAACCAGAAATCGAATCATGAAACTCATTAAAAAGTCTTTTGGTTGTCTCTCGTCCAATGATTAGCGTTATTTCATCAGATATGAGCGTTTTCAACTTGACAACCCACGGAGAAAATTAAAACTTTGTACTTTTTTTCCCCTTTCATCCATGAAATTTAAAATTACGTTTTAGTTCTAATTTGGGAAGAGTTTCGCTGTATTTTATATTCCTTTGATGCTATTAATGGGTAAATTGGTTGCACGGCTTTTAGCACCCTGTTGCTTATATGGTGAAATAATGGTTATTACGTCAGAGATCAATATACCACAGTACCCTCGTAATGGCATGTTATATACCATGGTTTATGAACACGTACATTATATCTATCGTGATCAACTGCAATAACCCAGGAGTCGTTAACTATAAAAGGGTCATTTGTATACCAATAACTACTAAATCTTATGTATTAATAGTCATAATTATTATACAGAAATGCATAATATGCACGTTTTGTATTTGCTACTGTATAATGTCAAAACATTTATCTATAGAACAAGCATGTAACATAACTTTGAAAACATAAACAGCTAATCAATAACTGAATAATAAAAATCAGACATCGTTATTTTCTTTTATTGAAAAATATGGAACGTGCTTGCCTTTAACGATTTGTTTTAATAGATACGTGTAAATCTATGGGTTTATCATCAGAGACTTGGTTGTTCAAATTGTATGGGTAGGTACTTGATATAAATAACTTTCTTCAATAGATATAATTTGTAAAGGGTTAGGAAAAGCGAGATAACTGTGAATTAGACACTTCTTTATACTGTATTTGTATTGTGCGTTAATCGATGCGTTTTAGTCTGTGGCACGCCCCCATAACAAATCATACTTATAATGATAATTGTACGGCTATTCTTCCATTCAGCTTGTTAACTTCGGACATTGTCGTCGTTAAAGGGATACACCCAGTAGAATAGAAAATATGGGGTTGGTGTGAAGTGTAGGTCAAAACCATGGACCTTATAATACATTATAAGATCCATGGTCAAAACAAACTTGATAATTGTGAGTCAAGGCTGTGAATCCGATGGCTAGGTCACCCAGTCTTTTGTAATCATCTGTATTTTACATAAATAATTTCCAGATTGTACATCTATAGACATTTCATAGGATTATTAAACATCTTTTGCTGTTCTTACAGTTGAAAGGGTGGGAGGGGGTGGGTTCTGGTGTAAGCTTTGGTCTTCATTGTAAAAGCAACCTAACTGAATAAAGTTTTCTAAGATGGATGACGCGCTTTAGCGACAGTCTGGCATTGTTCACAAAAATGAATAGACGTGTTATGTTCCTTATAAAGGAAACAGCAATTATCTTTGCATGATTCACACTTCGTCGCTTTCTTGTACGTGCACCGACAAACACGTGTTTAGTCCCGAACAATGCAAATGCATTTTTATAATAAATCAATGATTGAGAACTTTTTAATTTGTTATCTTTAGCGTTTTTTTGTATAATTGCTGTCAAGCAAATAATTTGTTCACTATAATGACCCAGGATTTATCTGAATATTTTATGAAGTTTTGATGAATTGGGCGTAGGTTGTCTGTCAGTTGTTTGGTTTTTGTAAAAGGAATAACGTGTATTCTCTAAACCAATAATTAACGAAAGTGTTCTTCGGTATTTTAAACTTTCCAAACAAAAGAATATGCCATGTACAACATCAACGATTTAATTTTCAAACGACATTGATATTTGCTTTGATATTTTCACTACTTGACTTCATTATTCAAATCTCAGTCAGTTTATCTTTTAAAGAATCGGAGTAATGGAATTGAAAACATATAAGATCCATGCTTAATACTGATCAGCCATCAAAATCAGCACTTTTATATTTCAGCGATAATTATTGACCACTCTTTCTTACTGACATTCGTGTAATTTACAACATTTTGTATCTGCTCGGTGAGTAAGGCGCAGGCTCACTAATCAGGGATCCTAGTCGTTAGGATGGGACGAAAAACCGAGGTTCCGTGTACAAATTGGCGTGCACGTAAAAGATCCCTTGGCAGTTGGAATTCGATATAAGAGAAGGCCGTAGCGCCGCTGCCCGGGCAAAATTTCCCTTATAACACACTGTATGGCGTATGCCGTCTTCATTAGCCCAGTTTAGGAGCAAAACAGTAGGACGTTAAATTTCATTTCATTTCAATCCTCAGATTTGTCAGCCTGGTTTCCCCATGTAAGTGGTGCATGGCGGAGGTTCTGGCAAGAAACAGTGTCTAGTCGTTCGGGTACACCTTGGAGTGCACGTTAAAGAACCATTGATAGCTGGAGTTCAATTTCCCTAATAAAACCCAATTTATTTTATTTCGTTTTTGAAAATGAATAGTTAATCTGACCAAAGAATACAATATTTTGTTTTCCTTTCAAATCTTTTTATCAAACTGATTATAACACATATCCTATTTCGTTTTATTTTATACAGTTCAAATTTCATTTTATTAGTCTTCGTGACAAAAGGATCGAAAGAGATTTTAAAATAATACGCATTCTCTTTGATATAAGAGATTAGCCCATGTTATGGTCTATGTTGTCGAGCTTTTGAATTATGGCAGAAGTATTAAGAGCGGTAAAAAACAAAACTATACAAAAGGTGCAATTAAATTCACCATTGCGA